AGCAAATAAAAATAATTGAAGCAATTGTCTCAGTTGTCTCCAGGGTTGTCATGATGATGTTGATAAAATCAAATAAAGTTATTGCAAGTTGTTAGTGAGCAGCACAGTTGTGAATTGGCAGTGGATGAAGCTGAAAAGCCTAAAAGGTTTGCTCGTTACCTAGATTTATTGTTTTCAGTTGTGGGAAAATGTTGGCTAAGCAAAAATACCATGAATAATACCTGGTCCTGGTGGTGCATTTCAAACAAAAGTTTCTTTGTTTTTTATACCTTTTACTAGATTATTAAAACCTACTCTGTCAGTCCATGCGTTCTTAACATATGTAACAGCTTGGTTTTATCCTATGTAGCTGTTCACATAGCCTATGTGTCTGTGAAGAGCAACACTCAGCAAGGTGTAAGGACTGACAGTATGTGAATCTTTGCAATTCATAAACTGGATGCTGCTCTGTTAGGAGACATTGTGTCTCATTTCCTTCGTTTTGGACTACTGGAGTCTTAATTTCCTAAAGGGGAAGAAGGTCAGGACCTTCAATCTGCATCTTTTCCCCAAGACATCCTGGCCGTCTGCTGCTTCCTTTGACTTCAGTATGAAATTAGGGTTACGAGCATTTCCAATCAGTTGTTGAAAACTCTCCTCTTGTAAGTGTTTGCTCTTTGGTAAGCCGTGCTTGTGAAATTAATCCTCTTGAGATCAAAGAAGTGAGACCTGTATTACTGAAATATTTCATAAACTAATGTACTTTGCTTATATAATCCTGTTCTCAATGAATTTGGTGACAATTTGTCAGCGAGAGTGGAATTGACCATTATTAACCTTGAGGAGACTCGGAGGCAAGACGATACCAGACGTTTTATTATTTTCAATTACTTTGTGTCTGCTCCATTTTTTATGAGTTTATTTACACTGCCGTGTGCCTCAAAAACAGTTAGTTTGCTATTTACAGGAAAAGTTATTTTATGAATGGATGAAGCTCATGATTTCCTCTAGTGGCCAACAGCACCAGCAGGAGGTTCTGTCTGTCAGCTGAGCTGTCGATGCATTGTGGTGGGGGCCAGATTTCCTTCTCTCTGAAGTTGTGCAGGGCATGCTCTTCAGTTAGGTTAGCAATGCAAGTCTTTATAGCTAGTAGTGGGTGTTTGTTTATTTATGATAACTACTAACTATTTAGACTGCCACTGACACCACATCATCAATCACTGTGCACCGTTCCGGTACTTAATTCAGTAATCCCTTGTTTTGCTTTGACGAAAATTAGGAATAAGTTTAATTCTTTACTTTCTCAATGCCAGGTGATTTTGTAGTTCTTACAGAAATCGCTAATATTAATGCTACAGTGGGCATTCACAGTAATCTGTCATTTTGTGAGATGAGCCTGTGCCATTCCATATTAATTCCTAATAAGATAATAAATGCGGAGAAGCAAAATATGGCTTTTTTTTCCTAGATTCAGATTTTATATATATATATATATTTCTTTGCATATATTAGCAGATTCAGGAAGAGAGTCCATCAGAATATATGTAAGGAGGTAACAGCCCTCCAAAATAGTGTGAATCTGTGAAGCACCTGAATGCAGGGATGGAAGACCTCTTCAAGCTCCTTAAGCACTTGAAAATCAGGTCTTACTATTGTTGTTTGTGCAGCCTGTGCTTTGCTGTGTTGGGAGAGTGTTTTTGATGGAGAAGAGGCAGCCTGTGAGTGGGTGCATGCTGGTTTCTGGCTTAACATCCAGTGGAAATACTTCAGGTTCAGCCTGGTGAGGTGGGTGAGGGGTACATGAGGTGCAACATCAGGAAATTGAGCCCAAATGTCAGGGCTTTGTGGGGGTTCTTCCAGCACCAAAGATGGTATTGTGAAAGTACACAAAGAACATTATAAACTTCAATAGGAAGAAGAAGAAGGTCTACTTGCTGGAGTTTTGGAGAGGAAATAAATCCAAGGCCATGGTTTCTTTTTCTCCTCTCACCAGAAAGAAAAATGTCTAATGAATGTCTCATGTCTGAAATACTGGGCTGGATTCATCAAAGGGAGTTAGTAATTACCAAATTGAGAGAATCATGAAGCGCTTTTCTAAATTTGAAAGGCTCATCAAGAATAGATCAGGAGCAGGCAAAATTAATAGTTATGAACTCATTTCCATAGAAATGGACTTATTAGCAACCATGCCAGCTGCCTAAAATTATAAGGTCTTTTCCTTGTGCTTGCAGGAAATAATCTTTTTTTATAAAAGTAATTTTGACTTTTTATTTTTTATGGCTCCTCTAAACTCAAACTGAGGTTTGGCAAAATCCTTCTAAACCAAGAAGAGACTTCACTGGGCAACAGAAGTATTAAACTAAGAAGAGAAGAAAGATTTGGAAAGGGGAAGTGATTTATAGTCCTTAGATTCCATCAGGCTCTTCCCAACAGTGCAGACTTACTTAAAAGGAAATGGAATAAACCTCAAGAAAAAGCTGAAGTAGGATAAAGGATAAAATATGGTTTAGTGGGATTTAATGACTGATAACAGCATGAGTTACGTTCATCATCTCCTCTGTTAGTGGGTTTTCCCACTCGTAGTGTTTTGTCTTCACCAAACACTTTCACATTGACAGTGACCACAGGGACCAGTGTTGGTCATCTGCTGAAAGTCACATCAAGGAGAAGCTGAGGACTGGCCATGGCAGGGTGGGATGTCTCCTTCGATAAAGGGGTGCAGTGCTGCACATTGAGGAGAGAAATTTAGATGCAGGCGTTGTGATGTGGAGTTACCAGCTGATGGAGCTGGTAGAGGTAAATGCTAACCTTTAAAGTCTTGCTTATGATTTAATATAATTCTGCTTTTACTTTGGCAACCTCATTCAATTTCACTGGAAAAGGCAGCGCTCTCCCACATGGTATTATAGAGGGTGGATAATAAATTGCATGAAGTGTGAATACAGTGCCGATCCTCTTGCTAGGAAAGAAGCCTCTGCAGGAGATGCAGTGGAGAGCAGAAAAGCTCAACTCTGAGAAAACTTTCCAGGTTTTATCATGGTTTTGTTAGAGCTGTAACCCAGGAAGAGGCTCAGAACAAAGAGGGTGGGTTAGTCCGTGGGGGTACTCTGTGACCCATATATTGTCACACTTGGCATTGCATGAAAGCTGACTCTGTCCTGAGGAGGAAAAAAAGAGCCCATAGCTTTGAGAAAATCCATTGACCCGCTGTTCTGGAGGAAACTGGAAACCTGCTGGCAAACAAAGGGGTGCAGAAAGTTGAGCACTTGTTTGCTAAAGCTGCACAATCGGTGGAGACTCCAGAGTGAAAGCTAGCTGCATACAGTAAGTCCCGGCCTTTCAGCAAAACTCCAAATGGGAAATGGACCTTCATGTAGTATTACGATCTCATGTTGCATGGTTTGCTACTGAGACAAAAACAGAAAGCAGTTGGTGAGCCCTGTTGTTTTTCCAGGCAACAATAAGGATTCTCCTTTGAAGCAGGACCACCGCCTGCCTGGAAAGTCAGCTCTGCTTTAGTGTGCATGAACTATCAGTTGGATCTGAGGAAAGTTTCTGTTGTGTCACTGCTCATTTCCAACCCAGCAGTGAATGGTCACGTCTGTCTTTAAATGAAACTTTTGTCTGGTGAAGGTTCCTCGCTGTTCTAAGGATTCAGTGAAGGCCTTTGCGTATTTGTAGGGGCAGGAGTCATTTACTCCCAGGTATTACTTCAACTTGCTTATATAGACAAGATACACATGTTCTTCTTGCAGAGATCTGAGTCCTGGTGTGCCATAAAAATAGAAAATCGCTATTATGGTTACGTTGGGAGTGTATAAAAGAAAAACGAGGAAAGGAAAACTTGAACGCATGACAGACAGAGCAAAGGCCCATCAGTGGGACATACAGATTTGATTGATAACTACAGACTGACCTGACAGTATTTGGACTTTATTTCATTGGTGAACCCAAAGCAAAACCCTCCATCAATAGTTTTGTTCAGAATTGGAAGCTGCTTGTGGGTGTTTGTGAGTGGCAACTGTTGGCTTGAACAGATTGAACCTAAACTGCAGATCCAGACATACTTAACAGGGCTAATAACCACATCCATAGTTAATGTAAAGCTCATCTCAAGATTTTATTTCTGCATTGCAAGCAAATTCATTTTATGTAGTGTAGATAAAACAAACTGCCAGAAGTGATAAGTGGAAAACCATGAAGTTGAGTGTGCCATCTTAGTGCCCACAGTGGTTAGATCTTTTAACAGAACAGCCTTAATTACATCCATAGTAATGTACAATAATATTTCTCTTAAAGAGTTTTTGCTGGCTGCCTGGTTGGCCACCCAAAGATGCTTCTAGTTTTGCCTGAAGGTGGATATTATCTTCTGTCAGCATGGAAAATATTTATCCTCCAGCCATTGAAGCATATGTTTGTGTTGTTTCTTGTCAGAAAGAAAACATGAAAATCAATAATTCCTGCTCATTTTTTCCCTTTACAATGTGCCTTCAAAAACATATGGCAAAAACAGTTTCTTGCCTCTGTGCAGTTGGGAAGAGGAAAAGGATGTTTAAGTGTCTGTTCTTTGTAGCAGCATACAGGCAGCCCGCTATGAGCACAGCTCTTGAATCACTGCTGTGGGAAGGGGCACACCAAAGTTTCTGGTCTGTTCTGTTGTTCTGGAGCATTAGTATTTGCAGCACCATTATAATAATGTATTATATTGAGTAATTCAGCAGTGCAGTTCCCAGGGTTTGGGGTTTGTTCTGTATGTTCTTCATGATTACATGGAATGAATGCTTGGGTTTAGTGGGAAGGATGGCTCTATGTCAGGAAACTGGAAGATGTTGTCACTTGTCTATAAAGGATGGCTATTGCCCATACTGGCTATTGCCAGTGTATAGCCTGGTTTAGGTTTCCGTTTTCAAAACTGCACATTAAATTGAATGGTAAATCTTCTGTTGAAAAGAGAAGTCAGAATGTCAGTAACATCCTACTGACATTTCTTCTATGGACAATTTTGTTTTCTTTCCTCCCAGAGCAAACATCACCTCCTATGAGATCCTGCAGATGGACTTTGAGATCGACAACACCAGCAGCCTGGCGGGGGCCCAGCAGATCACCTGGCAGGTGGAATACCCTCGAGATGATTCTCTGAGTGAGCTGGTGGTCTCTGAGATCTTCGTCAGCCGAACGATGTTTGCTGGAATTGTTCCTCTTGCCATGGTAAGAACCTGCTGCTGCTTCTTTCTGCTCAGTGCTTCCGCTGATTCTCGTTAGTATTCAGGGGAATGTGAACCGTTTTATTATGTGCTACTTCCTGTGCACCTGCTGCAAATGATTTAAATGCAAAAAATACTTTTCAATAATATTTTATTTACCTGATATGCCATAATGGCTCCTAGGAAACTATTTGAGTCTTTTGTGTAAATCCTTTAGTGTTTGTGGATTATTGGCCTGGTACATGGTAATAGCTCCTTTGGAGCCATTGTCTTCTGGTGTATTAATGTGACTGCCGTGCATGTGCTCTAAGGGTAAACGTTGCAATTAGCTGGGACATTTTCAATGAAATAAATTATCATGCAAGTGAGGAGAAACTTCATTGCTAAACCAAACAACTGGGCTGGTTTCTGCTTTGCTTTTCCCCTGAGAACCATGCAGACCAGTGAGCTGCAAAGTGTCCGTTTAACAAAAGGTGCTCTTGGAGTTACAGGAAAAGGACAAAATACTTTCTGAAGGTTCAGGTACTGGACATGTTTTCCAGGCAGGATTTAAGGTGCATAGACCAGGGTAACAGCCATATCTCTGTAAATTTGAGCTAAGCACTTCTGAAGGGTAAATTGTTTTTTCCAATCTGTCCCTCTGCCTGTGTTGCTTTTCTTTCTGTTCTACTAATTAACCAGGGAATATTGGTATTTTTCTCTGTATGGCCACTGGCTTCTCCTAATATGGCAAAAACAAGGAAAGATACTTCTAAAGGTAAACAAGGCCCTAAATAAATCTTATTTCCAGTTCCTACTGCCAAAGGCTGTGCTTACTGACAGCAAGGGATAGAGGAGAAATGATGTGTGGAAAAGTCAATAGAGAATTTTCTTCTAATAAACAGTAAGCATGACTAGAAGAGATGAAAGAAACCTCTAATTGTGTGGATGGAACATTATCAAGTAGCAGTGATGAATCAGATATAAAATAAAAGCGATGTAGTGCGTGAACTGACTTGCACATAGCATTGCTGGTTCCAAATGGATAGCACAGGTTTTGTGCCATGCAGAGCACTGTGGGTATGCAGGAAAAGCAGATCCAACCCCAAAGCTCATTGTCAACTCTGGATGAGAGCTTTGCTTCTTTCTCTGCCAGGGTTCGGCCAGGGCTTCACTTCATCTCTTTGCAGTTATGGCAGCTGCTTTAAGCTATCTCTAAATGTCCTTGGACAAAATCTGAGGCAAAACCTGAATTTGAAGTGGAGCTAATCTCACACAGTTTATTGTTATAAGATAACTGTGGAGTAGAGCAAAAAGCTTTATGGATTTATGCCCTTACCCCTTAATTGGGGGTCTCACGTGGGCTATCACTTGTTGCTGCATGTGAGCATCCTTGGCTGGCTTGGCTCTAGGCTGATAGAAGAACTGATGGCAGCAGTGGCAGGAGCAGCAGCTTGTATTTGCATTTCCTTCCCTTACGATTGCTAGTTTTCTGTGCTTCTCCATTTAATCGTCACTGACTGATGCAAGTTCTGGCACTACGTTGCACAGTCAGGGATAAAAGGAGGAGTGTTTGGATGGTACTCTCAGACATGGGGTTTGGGTTTGGGTGCTGCTTGTGGGTCTCTTCCAGCTCAGGATATGCTGTGATTCCTTCATTCCAAGATGCGTGTGCCTCTGTAGGCTGCTTTGGGCCTTTTAATGTGGAGACATCCACATCTGTACTGTTTGGAGTATCTGTTTTGTTGCTGCAGTCGATCAGAAGTTCGTTTTCTGTGCTACTTTCTTAAACAAGCGATAGAAAACAGAAAGAGCTGCAGATGACTTATTCTGTCATTGCATTGTGGTGGCTCTGGAAACAGCAGTGGGGATATTTTCCTCATTAGCAGCCTGATTTTTTTCTTTTATTTTTTTTATTTTTTTGTGGTAGATAAAGATGTGGCAGACTGCACAGTAACATTTGAATAATAGCCTGATGAAAAGAGCTGATTTCTTGCTTTAGTGGGTTTATGAAGCCCTTAACATAAAATCTGATGTTCTTAACATTTACATTTTGTAGCAAGCTTGAAAGGCATTTTTTGTTGCTTTTGTCTTTTTTTTTTTTGTCTTTCGCTTTGGGGTTTCTGAGCGAAGACAGCTGATTTTTGCACATTGTCTAGCAAGAAAATAGCTCCTTATTAGCAGACAATCTTGCTGTAATGAATTGATATTGCAGCTTATTTCTGGCTAATCCTTTGGTGTCGATTCAGAAGCACATTAATAGGCACTGTTTTGAGATGCACAGAAGATGGCATGGTCAGGGAGGGTCTCCAGGTGAGATACTGGTCTACCAATTGCTCTACGCTTCGTTCTCTCTATATGATACCTGTAAATAAGATGGGGGATTTTATTTTCATTTTAGTTGGAAGAGGAGGACTAAAATGTAATCGCAGGGAATTGCCCCAGACTGTCCATTTTCATTTGGATGATCCTCCATCTAATAAATCTCTTAACTTATTTCTTGCCAAATTCAGTGCATTCAAAATATATAGATAAATAAGCATTAGCACTAATGAGAGAAAACGAAACAAATTTCGTACTGGAAAAGAGTCCTCTTTCTGCATCATTGGACGCTTCTCCCCAGGTCCTTAAGCTCCTTCTAATTGAAACCTCCATTTTCCACAGCTGCACGGGGCCAGGCTGTTGGGATTTCCAGAGGAATGACAGCCAGATGGAAATGGCATAGTCCAGTGGTTCAGGGTTTGCTTTCTGAAAGTCATCTCTCTGCCTCTGGGTGGGCAGTGTAGGTGCTGTGCGCAGTAGGAAAGCACGTGGGCAGGATGCAGTGGGAACGCAGACCATTGCTGGCTGACACAACAAAGAAAAGAGAAATGCCAAGGGGGTGATCACAATTGAATGCATCCTACTGCTGTCTCAGGATTGGGTTTGGGTGACAGCTGTGATAACCCCAGTGCTGCAGGAAGGACCAGCTTTCTTTGTGGAGTTGTTTTTGTCTCCTCCTGTAAATCAGATGAGTGCTTAGAAGCTTCAGTCCTATAGCACTTACTAGAGGACCATGGTGGGGAAGGCTCTTGTTACGTTATGCTGTCATTTCCATCATCTGTGGCTGCTGAGACTGATGTGGGAGAGGAACCAACCAAAGCCTTGTGGGAAAAACCATTGGGTTTTATGTGAGGATTGTTTTAAGACATGGAAGGATGTAAGAGGGCAAATGGCACCTCTGAAACAAATGAACACACACAAACAACCCTTTTTTTTTTCTTTTTTTGGTCCATACTTGGCCTTAGTACCTCTTAGCAGGTGATGAGCACCGGTTTCAAAATCAATTCCAAGTGTGAAGCACTCACTGTACCGCTGGCACTGCTTCCAGCCCTGCTTAGGAGCTGATCCCAGATGGTATTGCTGTGTGCATTTTACACCATTTTAGAAACAGACTGTTTATTTTGTCTGGTATTCACACTTCGTTGACTTATGCTGTGATGATCAAAGGGGACTCAGGGTCTTCCATACCTATCATACCTCCTGTCTGTGTTTGAAGCTAAAAGATGACGTGTGTCCTGGAAGCGCTGATACTAGTAGTCTGTCTTCTGTTCCTGGAAGGTCTTGTTTCTGTAGATAGAGCTAGATTGGAAAATTTACCCCTTCTGAGCAAAGAAGTCTTATTGATAGGATTTCCTAATTGGGTATATGCGTAGTTGTGCTCTCATACAGAAGCATAAAAATAAAGGTATTGAGAGCAGGTGTCATAAGATGCCCAGGTATAAAGATGTAGGGAAATGCCTTTTCCAGACTGCGTTAGAAGCAGAAGGTGAAATTCTAGGGTCTTTGGACAACGGACTCAGAAAACACAGCTCCAAGCTGTAGCAACCCCTGAAATTGGAATAATTCTAATTATTTTAATCCCAGAAGCAGCGCAGCGTGGTTTTTGCTGAGATGGAATGTGGATTTGAAAACGAATGCAAACAGGGTATATCTGTGTTCCTCTGTAAATACAACACCACAAATAATTCCGAATTCATTCTCTGTGAATTGTCTCACGTAAAATACACAATGCCACATTGTCCTGAAACTGCTGGCACATCTTCTGATAGCTGAAAGGGATCGGGTGGACCCGTTTACATTAGGGAAAGTAAATGCTAATTCCTAAAACTCTATGCAAATTAACAAATTATTTTTACTTTAAGTGCACTGTTATTATTTAGTATTTACGTAGCATTATATATTTTCAGAACACTTTATAGGCATGAATTAATCAGACCTGAATAAGCAAAGCTTAATAAGAATGGAAAATTACATGGAAATGAAGGCACTCTTGCTCAGTTTTACCTGCTCCTGAATGATGCGTGAGTCACTTTCCATACCCCTAAAGGTACTTTTTAAAACACTTAGGGAAAAAAAATCTCACAGTAATACTGCTTAATATCCCTAAAAACATTTCATTTAGGAAAGAGGTAGAATTTATTCTGTCAAGAGCTAATGACAGCGCAGATGAGTGGCTCTGAAGAATGTAAATGCTGCTTTATCGTCTTATGCTGCGCAGAACTATTTAAGCTGATTTAATTCAGGTAAAAATGTATGGATGAGGGATTACTCCCTTAATTTGAAGTTTACTTGGGAGCTGCAGTATTTGACTCCAGGAAGTTTCTTTAGGTGAGAACAGGAGGAAGACTGAGTTTTGTCTTAATGTTTCACCGTAAGCTTTTAAGAGGAAAGAACAGCTGAGATGTGTGGCTCATAGGAAGTGAATGGGATGGAGCACTGCCTGGGCTGGCTGTGATGCCTTCCAGCTCGGGTACTGCTGCATGGTGCTGAGAAGTCCCTAAAAACCTTTGAGGATCGGTATGGCTGTTCACTGATGCACTGTCAGGTGAAAATGTCAGTTGCTGTGCTCCTTCGAGGCTAATTTCTTTTCTTTTTGACAATAACGACCTTAGGTAATTGATTCTTCCAACATCTGGTGTGCAGATTGACACGTGGAGCTGAAGTCCCCAGAAGTATAAGTTATCCATTTTCATTGTGCCCAGC